CCCCAAAACCCCAAAACCCCAAAACCCCAAAACCCCATTTATTCTTTATCACATTGATTGTTATAAAATGAGTATATCACAAGTAAAAATAAAGTGAAAGGACAGTTTGCAGTTAAAAATAGAGGCTACACCACCCAAGTTGCCGAGTATCACAAACGCTGTAAGTTTTTAACATATTTTTTAAGGTTTTGGGCCAGAGTAGCAGAATTTACAACTTTATTTATAACCAAAATTCTGGAATTTTTGTTAACCTTTATAGAATGTTGGATCCTTGGAGCGTTCCCTCAATTCTATATCTCCTTGAGGCATGTTTGCACCCTCGTCCACTAAAAATATTCGCTATTTTAAGGGCAAGAAAATGATTTCCCAAATTTCAGACTTGAAGTACAAAAACAAGATGAAGTTGAAGAATATCATGAGTGAAGAGGAAGATAGGAACTTGAATATTTTCAATGTTTCCGCCCTCAAGTTAGGCTATCCTCATAAGAAAGATATTTCATTCCTTTTAGAGGATTGAACTCTAACTGTCTCTCCTAAGATACTTGACAATATTCAGGAGACACCACTCAGGAGGATCAACCCTTCTGGGCGAACTACTGATTGTAGGAATAAAATTGCAAAGACGAGTAAGGATTCTCAATAATTTCTTTCAGAAAGTCCTAAAAGAAGAGTTCTTGACCGGAAGAAATTGAATAAATCAGTCCATGACAAGCCACAAGCAAAATTCAATCGTAAGTCTTTGATAATAAATTTAGTGGTTGGACTCAAAGTCAAGTGAAACCAGCAATTTCAGACTCCTAAGGTGCCTAATGCAGATCTTGAGCATAAGACGGTTGAAGGTACTTTCCTAGAGGTTTAATCATTAGATAAGAGACAGTTCCAGGATCAAAACCTTAACCTGCTTGCTAAAGATTCACTTGATGCATCAAATTCAGAGGACAAATAGTACGTTTGAATTTAATATTATAGTGATGACGAGCAATTCGAAGATGAAAATTTGAAAAGTTTAGAAACTGAGGAGCATTCTGAGAGTAAACTGTCCCCGAAAATTCATAAGAAAGTTCAGATCCCTAACACTAAGAGAGTTAGGAAGAAACTTAACCTGATTGACCCGAAGAGTATTAAGAAAGTTGACAATGCCAAGTACTTTCTGGGATAAACTTTAGAAATCTGACCAAAGTTCTGGGAAGTGATTCAAAGAATAAGAAATAAAGATGCAGAGACTAGCACAGAAGTATTAGAGTGTCTTGATCTATTATAGATCTCAAAGGTTATGTTTGGAAGTCCTTACAGGAACCCTAGTATCAGAGACTCTTCAACATTAGCCTATATTAGCAAGATTAAAGAGAATCCTTTGCAGGAAGATATTTCAGAGGCTAGTCCAAATCCACAGGAATCTGCTATCTTTTCACTACAATCAAGATCTCAAGAATTTAATAAAAATGATAGCAAGGATAAGAAAAAGGGCGTTAACGGGTCTACTTCTAAGAGAGAAATCATTATGAGCAAGATGTTGAAATAACTCAGAAGGTTGGTTGAAATCACTCAGCTCATTACCAGCCAATTTAAGGCTTATCCTAGCTTCCTTATGTAATATAAGGAAGTCTACTATCTGAGTTTTTCCTAAATTTTGTTAAGATATGGCTCTAGAGTTTGATAGTTGCTAAACCTAGAATTTAGAGCCAAGATATAAATCAGATGATGAATCAGAGTACTCTTCAGATACATACGAGTAAGCAGCAACAAGCAAGACAGTTTAGATCAGCTTCGATGAAGTCCAGAAGCCATGCAATGAGAGTTGAGGTCAGTAAGAAAAAGAAGAAAAAGCAAGGCCAAGTCCAGAAAAGGTATGCCAAGCAGTAAGATCTATAGGAGTCTGAGAAGTAGATCTCAGAACCATAAGAGTAACATTAAAGAAGAATATATAGGCTCAAATATCCCCACTGAGGATTTTAAGAGTATCGAGTTTGACCCAATGCCAAATCTTAAGTCTAAATTTTCGAACAGGAAAAACTCAGTAGACGTTGCAAAGCTTCTCTCTAAGAGTACGTTTTAGATTGATATTGAATAGATAGACTCAAGAACAAGGCTCATCTGCGGTACCAAGCTACTAATAAGATGAACTCTTTAAGAAAATTGAAACTTAAAAGTACTGTTTTGATGACCTTTTAGATAAGAATAAGATCATTTATCAGAAGTTTTTGCCTGTCAATCAGCCAAATTCTTCTATTCTTTATGATAACTCCAAACTTCCAAGTAGGCCTTCTTGTTGGCATCAATTCATTTGAAATAGGCATTGAGAATGAACGGAACTTGTCCAATTTTGAGAGGTAAGCTTGAGTATCAACAGGATTTATTAAAATCTGGAGTGGAGGAAGAACTCATTTGATTAAGAAATGAACTGGCTGGACTTATATAGTCCTAATATTTTAAACTTGTATTCAGAATTTTTAGGATAGCTATTATGACCATCTTTTATGATGTTGGTTGCTTCCTTGAAGTCTACAAAGCTTATAAGAATCCTAAAATTTTTGGTGAAATAGGAGTTCTAGTAGAATTAAGGCAAAATCTCACTACTTTATAGTAAGCAATTTCCAAAACAGGGTTAATAAATCATAGGGAATTTTATTGTGAAGACTCAGTTTCTTGATCCCACCGCAGGACGACTTCCTTTACAAAATAACACCATTGAGGCATCTAAGATCCAGAGGGAGAATGATAGCATATAGCCCATGAAGGGTCTCATGACATCTCAGGAAGTCCAAATTTAATGTCTCCATTTGCAGGGCATTCTTTGAATACATCGAAATTAACAGTGTTTAATAATGTAATTGACCCACAGTTCAGGTAAATTAGAAGATTATATTTGTAGAAGTATTGAACAGTACCATCAAAAGGTAAATTTTAGATATTAAGATGTAGAATTCAGCAAAAAGACAGATTTATGCACAAATATATTGTGGTACTGATGATTCTAGTTGTTAAAAGTTGAAATTTCTTGGGATTAGGATGTTTGAGAGGGGTGGGAAAGTGTGTGGTTGATAGGCTTGGAGGGAGTTATACTCATGGGTTTTTGGATTTTATGAAAAAGTGTTCTAGAAGTTGAGTTTGGGTAGAAAAATTAGAGGTAAATATTGAAATTCAATTTTATCTCGGTGGCAGGGGTTTTGGGGTTTTGGGGTTTTGGGGTTTTGGGGTTTTGGGG